ACTATGGCGACGAAACATCTACAACTGATGAGAGAAATAATGATGATTCTACGCAAAGTTCAGTGCTATCAGATAAAAGCCTAGATCAAAACCAATTTGAAGAAGATCTTCTGTTGAACTCGGAACACGAAGAAACTGCCAATTTGATGGAATCGATACCACCACCTTCTAAGAAGAAAAGAAGTGACTTATCAGAATTACTGCAACTTCATCGAGAAAACCAAAAACAACACCAACAACAACGCATTGAATTAAAGGAAATGCTAAGTAGTGCAAAAGATGATTATGATGAAATAGACCACTTTTTCTTGTCGCTGGCGAAAACCACTAAGAAATTTCCCGGTTACTTACAAGCACGAGTAAAAAGAAGTTGTTTCAACGCAGTAGTAGAAGCCGAAGAATCGCATCTCTATAGTCAGCATACCTATGGTTATTACACAAACACTGGTGAATCAAGCTCACAACAAAATATTAGCAATTCTCAACAATTTGAGATGATACCGCCACAGACACTGCCTTTTTCAGAACCGCAAAGCATTCAAGAAAATACGAACATGATACCGCCACAGACACTGCCAGTTTCAGAACCGCAAAGCATTCAAGAAAATACGAACATGATACCGCCACAGACACTGCCAGTTTCAGAACCGCAAAGCATTCAAGAAAATACGAACATGAAACCGCCACAGACACTGCCAGTTTCAGAACCGCAAAGCATTCAAGAAAATACGAACAATTTAACAGAATCAGCACAGACAAAATCTTAACTAATTTTGAAATTTGAAACGTTGATTTCTCTCTATTTTCTTTAATATTTCTAAAGTATTTCTTAGTGTTAAGTAAATAATGAAAATTAGCTGTATTATTAATGACTGATTATTAAACTCTACTTACTTTAAACAAACCGCTAATCTTTCCTTAGAACTGATACATTTTCTGTAGTGAGTATCTTCCTTCTTGATATATGGTTCGATCAAATTATGTAATGATTCAAATGTACTTCTTGTCATTCTGTAAGAATTCTGGAACGTCTCATCGTCAGCTGTTTGGAACAGTGTAAAGAATTCTGAGTGTATTGAGTGATATTTAATATGATTTCGTAACCAGAATCTATGTTTTCTTCGTCGAAGTAAAAAGCTGACCAACAATTCATCTTCCTCCATGAGTTCTTCTTCGCACATTGCGAGATACAAAATAACTTTTTGCTTCCACGATGGCATGTCTACTTTCAGTGAAAAACGCGGGCATACTGTAGGTACTCTGCTCTGCACATAGCTACACCACTCGCGATGGTCCATAGCACGCATCCATAGCACGCATCCATAGCACACATCCATAGCACGCATCCATAGCACACATCCATAGCACGCATCCTTCCATACAAAAAACATATCTTAGTTGAATCCGTTTCCACCAGTGCTAAGCTATGTGCACCAATGAATATAATTGGTGGATATCAAACGCATCCATAGCATCGGAGCATAGCACATCACATCACATCATCGCACATACTGGCACTTGCGGTATCTTCTTTACTTACAACTATTTTTGTTTGTGAGGACGATATGAAAGGAGATGAACTGACCTTATGTTTTTTCGTTTCTTTGTGTCGTTGGATATCGAATAACTTCGCATTTATCTCGATTTTGCAATATAAACATAAAGCTTTCAACGAATTTCCTGGCACTGGTTTTATTCACTTAAATTCCACTTCCCACTCTTTTTTATAATGTTGTTTGTAAATAGTCTTTTTTTTTTATTGGTGGATCCGACATTTTTTATTTTCTTAAATACTGATCTTTCAAAACATTCACACACCATATGTATTAAAACCGAAGACACAACAGTGTTCAGTTCACTCGCTCGATTATTTCAACAAGTTACAAAAACAAATGTTCGCTTCGCTCTCATTGCCTTAGTAATATTATAATACTGCGAAAAAAACAGTCTCTTAAATAAGATTACCATGAAAAAATTGTAACTACATCCTAAATTAGTCGGTTTATATTTAGAAACAAACTTGGGGAATTCCCCAGCAAAGAAGCAGAAAGAGTATGTAGGGTTACCAATGTTACCATAGCAAAACTAAAAATATACCCAATTAGTAAAGTAATATACACAATTAATAAAGTGTGAACTGACTAAATCTATACTACATGGCGCGCATTGTTTCATAACTTTGTAATCGCGGTGCGAAGTCTTCGTCTCGCTTGAAAAGGGCTAGATTGCTCTTTTCGGGCTAAAGCATGAAAAAACGAGTTTACCTACAGTAAAAGCGCTAGATCTAGCCCGCCGCCGCGCCCCGCCTGCACCCCGCCTCCTCAGTATGTCTTATATCGGCCATACACACTACGAGAAATCGTTACGATTAGACTGTACAGTCCGAACGGTACCGATAAATCGTATCGTGTATGTTATAAAACTGCACAGTTTCCTATACTAAACGATATCGTATAAACTGTTCCGTTCGAACTGTATAGTCTAATCGTAACGATTTCTCGTAGTGTGTATAGCTGGTATTACGTTTAACCCTTCAATACATTTTGTATGAGATATAATTGAATTGGCGCCACGCCCGCGCCGCGCCTGTGCCTCACCCCCGCCCGATGCTTCTTGTATTTGTCCCGCGTCTTAGATGACACGTGATTTGAATCCTGTGCTGAGACTGGTCCGCGCATTTTTGGCGGATATTGAAACGCAACAACGTAATTATAGTGGAGTTTGCAACGAATACGAATTTTAGATCACTGTTTTTTCATAGATTTAAGCGGATTTTGCAGCAAAATTTTTCGTGGATATGAATAATAAATATTCAGAAATATTTTGGAAGACAACTATTTTATGGTCAAAAACTGTTTTAGTGGGTTTTGAAAGTGGACTCCTCATATAATCAACTTAAGTGGCATTTATGCCCCAGTTGCTAAGCTACCAACTTTTAGGTTATTTGTAATAATTGCAACGAAATAAAACTTACCTATATACCAATTGGATGTCACAGGAGCTTTTATATAATATGTTGAGATTAAAGAAAATGTATATATAAGTTTACCAGAAGGGGAGATAATAATATTGTAAAGTTGAGTAAGTCATTGTACAGGTTGAAAAGTTCTCCTAAACCCTGGAATATTAAAGTTAATTCGCTATTAACTCAAGAAGGCTTTTTAACCCTATGACGTAAAAGGGACACCAATGTCCCTAAAATTAAATTTGTGTTTATTTCTAAACAAAGTTCCTAATAATGGGAACTAAACTAAACGCATGCTTATTGTATCCGAACGTATTTTGTTTTTTTTTTGGTTCGAAAAAAAAAACAAAAACGTCACATTACTTTTGAGTAGTTTACTGCGCTTCTTTGACTTTTCTGAAGCGATTAATATTACATTTTTGCTGCACTCACTGACTGTTTAGTGAATAATTTATAAGAATGGTAAGTAATAATTATGTTTGTATTATTAGTTGTCGTAATCAGTAACATTTTAGTAACTAAAATATGAAATTATAAGTAAGGGACGCCAGTGTCCCAATATGCGTAAAAGGCCAATTTTATTAATATTTTACCCTAACGTTTTATGCATGTTCTGTGATTTTACACACGGTCTTAAAACTCAATTTATTTGTTTTAGGCGCGCAAAAGAAATAGGATTTTCCGTTTGGCAGATTGCGAAGTCGAGGAATATCTCATGGCTGAAACTATTGACACTGAAGATGCACTCACTTTGGATGACGAAGACCAGTCATTTTTATTAGAGGACATACAAGCTGGATTTTCCGAAGCTATATTTGAACCACCTGGTCCATCAGGATCTACTCAAAATCCAGGTCTATCTTTAGACTCATCATCTACTATCCCCATTTATTCATTATCACGTGATCCGGTTCTCGAGTTCAAGTGGAAAAATAATATCTATCGTCCGTATATTTTTCTGACGCCTATTATGAATTTGGTAAGATATACATTTCTCAAGAACTACAGTCTTTGAAACCTATAGATATATTTGAGGCAGTAACATACATTAAATTATTGATTGAGGGATTAATAATATCAGAGTCTTTACGTTATTCTCATCAAAACGGCTCGGTGTTCACTACCAATATCCAAGAAATAACAGCTTTCATTGGCATGAATTATGTCATGTATTACCCACACTGAGAAGCTACTGGTCCACTGAGCCTGACATGGGTGTGCCTTATATAGCTAAAGTAATGGCTTTATCACGATTCCAAGAAATTAGAAGAAACCTGCACTTCTGTGACAATGCGTCCCAATTAACTCCAACATCGTCATCATTTGATAGAGCCTACAAAATAAGATTAGTAATGAACCATTTCAATTCAAGTTTCCAATCAGCAATGAATAACACAATAACGCAAGCAATTGATGAACATATGGTAAACTTCAAAGGTCACAATATTATGCGACAGTACATGCAAAATAAACCAATAAAAAGAGGATTTAAAATGTGGTGTCGTGACGATATCTATTCCAGTTCGATTTATATACTGGAAAAAAGAATTCAGGACCCGAAAAAGGACTGGCAGAATCCGTTGTCCTTGATGTTACACAAGCTTTGGTGGGTCTTGGATGTGAAACATAATTTGACAATTTTCGATCGAAGGAATTTCTTTATCAAGTGGATGGATAATAAAGTTGTGCATCTCCTCACCAACTTTTTGTCACCGGTACCTACTCTAAAGGTAAAACGTAAACAAGTAGGATCAGCACAATGTCTAGAGATCACATGTCCTGACATCGTCCATAAATACAACAAAAATATGGGTGGAGTAGATCTCATGGACCAGAAGAAGGTCACTTACGAAGTTGATAGGAAATCCAAAATCAAATATTATCTGTGGCTTTTTTTTTGATTTATTGGACATCGCCATGAACAATTCCTACATGGTCCTTGCATGCGCAACATCGCATAGAAGGGCATTTACTAGAGCTGCCACCTCTCCGGGTTTGACCCGGAGTTTACGGGTTTGCATGGTTCATGTCCGGGCTACGGGTTTAACATCGATATCTCCGGGTCCGATGGAACGGGAAGCGACAACACGTCATCACGCACCGGGCGCACGGCGCGGAGTGCGTGCGTGCGTGACTGATAGTCTGAGTGAGACGTACAACGTACGGGCGCGGGCGCGGGCGGCCGAGTGAGCGGGAAAGTGGGAGTAGCAGGCAGGGAGCGCGGGCGGGGTACAACAGTACATGCGTACGCAGAACGATCATTAGATTCAAAACAATAGCTAATTTCTGTTAGCGCTTCGTAATAATTGCACACAAACAAGAGTATTTTATGTTTTGTTCATTAATATTTCTATCACAGATTGTTTTCGATACTTTCTCTTATTAAAAGTACCTAGTGTTGTAGCGTGTGGTCATAATGGAACAAGAAGAATCACAGTCGAAGAAAAAAAAGAAGTATGAATGTAATTTTCAACAAGTGTGGCTAGAAAATGAGAAGTATAAAATGTGGGTGAGAAAAGTCGATGAAAAAAACGCGAAATGTGTATTTTGTAACGTGAAATTTACAGTGAAATGGGATGGTGAAAAGGCGTTATCGACTCATCTTAACAGTGAAACGCACAAGAAAAAGGTGAGAAACATTGACTCAAACTCTTTGATAACCGCTTTTCTGCCCAAGAAAAATTCTTCTGAAGAGCTAAAAGTAGCGACAATCGAAATTGCGTCGATTTATCATGCAATTAGCCACCACCATAGTTACTTGAGCACCGATTGTGGTATTAAATTAAATGCTACTCTTTATTCCGATTCACCACTATCACATAAAGTTCACTGCGGCAGAACAAAAGCTGAAGCCATTGTTTTGAATGTCCTAGCACCGAATTCAATCCAGTCAACAATACAAGACCTAAAAAGGACTCAATCTGGAGGCGGGGTTCACTTTTCGATTGCTATCGACGCCTCAAATAAAGGATCCCAGAAAATGTATCCAATTGTCATCAGATACTTTGACCAAGAAAAAGGTGTTCAGAATAAATTAATGGATTTTTATGAGGATTCGAACGAAACATCTCAAAAATTTTTTGAGAATATTGACAATTTTATGCTTCAGCATGACTTAGACACAACTTTGCTGTCTGCTTTCTCTGCAGATAATGCACCGGTTAATTACGGTGCTCACAATTCCGTGTACCAAAAAATTAAAGATAAATATTCCGATACCAAAGTCGTTAAAGCAAATTGTAACTGTCACGTTCTTCATAACGCCGCCAGAAACGCTATGAAAGCTTTAACATATGATGTGGAAAACTTGATTATGAAAGTTTATGCGGAATTTTCGAACAGCGCAAAACGCACGAGAGAATTGCAGGCATTTTTTGAGGAGTTTGAAATTGAATACAGAAAAGTTTTGAGACATGGGCCAACTAGATGGTTAAGTTTGGGAAGAGCTGTTGACAGATTGATATTGTCATGGCCTGCTGTATCCGCGTATTTCAAAAGTCTTGGTGAAGCAGCATGCCATAAGATAATATGGGAATTCGTAAAACAGTGTGGTGATGATGCTGGAAGTTTATCTGCAAAAATCACACTACAGGAATGTTATTTATATTTCATTCATCATTATATGAATATGCTGACAGAAGCCATACTATTACTGGAAAAAAACACAGTAACAGCTACTGAGTTGCACCCAATTATGAAAAATATAAAAGACAGATTGAAAGCCGACTGCATGACGAGTTTTATGGCGCCAAAGTAATGAGAAACATGAAGTTTTTGAGGCCTTCCGAACAGGATCAATTAAAAAAAGAAGCCAATGAGGTTTACAGAAGAACTCTTGAATACGTACAGAAATATTATGATTTTGAGCATTCTGTGTTCAAATTTTTTTCCAAATTCGATCTAACAAGTGCAGTAAGTTACGAAGATGCTGTGGAAGCTTGCGAATCACTTGGTCTGAAAAATGTGGACGAAGATAAACTGTATGACGAGACCCGAAAATTAAACCAAGTATTTCCTCAGTTCGAACAATCTATTAATTCAACATTATCTGTTGATTTACGATGGGTTCAGCTTTTCAAAGTCACCTCAACTTTCACCGAACTGCCAAAAATAATTGGTAAAATCTTTTCAATCCCTATAAGCAATGCTTTCGTAGAACGCGTCTTTTCTTTAATGGGAAATTTGTGGACAGACGAGCGAAACTGCTTATCAGTGGACATGGTGAAGGCTGAGTTAATTGTAAAGATTAATTACAATATGAATTGCCAAGAATTTTTAAAATTTTTGAAGAAACCTGAGCAAGAAGAAATGCTGAAACAATCCCTACAGAATAAAAAATATAATTTTAAGTGTCAAGCTAGTTCAAGTCAGCCTAGCACTAGTTAGGTAATTTATATTAAACAAAAAACGTTACATACCTATATTAATTTACCATTACTTTGTACTTATTTCATTAAATACTTAAATCTTTAAAAAAATGTTTTATTTTAATAAAAAAAAACGACATTTCTAAAATCTCCGGGTCTACTGTTTTTGAAAGGTGGCAGCCCTAGCATTTACTCTCATCACTTGAATACCGACAAGTTGTGGCTAGGGCTATGATTGGCAATTTTTCTATACGTAAACTAAATAAGTCCACCAATGCAGTGACGGTGGAAAAAAAACCTGACGGGAAAAAATTGCTCAGGAATATAACTCCTCTGCTGAGAATCCCCGAACAGCGAAGCTGCTTAACACTGCCTATCAAAATTTAAAAAGGCTGATAAGACAAAAAACAGCTGATGATAATATATGTGCCTTTACTTTTTATTGATTATCATAAAGAAGTTTACATGAGACCTGAATACATGACTTGTTTGTATCTAACATTTTAGATGAAGAAATACATGGAAACAAATGTACAATGGGATTTAAAACAATTTAAAAAGGGCAAAGCTGATGATAAGGTATGTACTTTTTAGTTCACTTTGTATTTCAGTTTTTAAGTGACAATCACTATCTCTCGCACAAAAACTGTGTAATAATATTACACAGGCCTTCCAAATATCATCAATATAAAAAACTTTTGACTTTACATCTATGGCAGTACTTATAAATACTTTATAATATAATAACTATGTATCCAATTTATCACGACTGGTAGGTGATATTTTATGGAAATATTATCAATTTTCAGAAAGCAATAATGGCTACTGGCGGAGGAACTTTTAAACCACAATTGAGTGAAGTTGATGCACAAATGTTGGCATTGATGGGAGACCAGTTAAAACCGTTATCCAATAATTGTGATAGTGCAACTGAATATTTAAAAAAAGATGAAGTGTAAAATCAATAATGATCATGAAAATAATAATGAAATTATTATTGACATAATAGAGCTTAGTGAGTAAATTTCTGTATACATTCTTTTGTAAATAAAAATATGAGATGTTTTTTTTTAAATATAATTGTTGGCAACATTATTAATATACATTTTTTTTTAATCAGATTATCATGAAACTGAGGCTTCTGCAGAGCCACCACTGGAGGGAATTGAAGTTTCTACAGAGTCGCTACTGCAGTGGGTCAGGTTGCCACAAAAAGTGGTGAAAAGAAAAGCAAATCCTTCTTCACAAAATAGCAAACATAGGATAATAATATTTATAGGAAACAAAAAAGAAACTTGAAAACTCAAATTCCATTAAAAGAAAATTCTATAAAAAAAACTAGAATGTGCTCTACTAGAAAAAAAAACCCATTTTGTAAATTATAAAATCACTCTAAAAAAAGAAAAACTCATTGATATAGGAATAAAAATTAAAGAATTGGAATTTACTTCTATGGCAAATAAAAAGTAAAATAATTGTAGTGTAAATCTGATATATACTACAATATAAAGCTGCAGAATTTGTTTTTATGTTTGTTTGAACGTGTTAACATCAGGAACTGCTGAACTGAATTGAAATATTCTTTTTACTCGTTTAGGAAGGCTTTAGTGTACAATAATTGTTCGTTTTAAGTTAAATAATAAAGATTGATTCTGATGTAAAACTATTGTTTATTATTTAATGTATGAAGACATCTCGTTACTTATTGGTTAAAGAGAGTTATAAGTTAGGCAGATCTAACTGAAAAAAATTCATTTGATCCTCCAGGTTGAGGTACTATCTCGGCCACTGTGGATAAATTGTCATCAGGCAGGTCTTCAATGACATCATTCTGGCTTAAGGCAATGTTATGCAGTACTGCACAGGCTAAAACTATGCGCATAGCAGTATCCAGCTTTACCCGTAACCTCATAGATAGACAGGGGAAGCGTCTCTTTAATACCCCAAAACACCTTTCTATAGGGTTTCTCGTCGCAATTTGAGTACGATTATAGGCATCTTCACTTGCTGTTGCTGGCTGTATAAAAGGGGTCAATAAATATTTACAGCAGGGATAACCACTGTCTCCCAGTAAGACATTGCATCCATACACGCCTATTTAAAGTCAACAGGGATGTGTGAATCGTTAAATTTATTCGTACTCATTCGTACTTAATCGTAAAATTGTAGTGTCATGGACAGATCCTGGCCATCAACATATTATATTTAAAGTATACAACTCTGCATGACAAACTGCCTGAACATTTAAAGGATTTTCTTTAAATGTTCAGGCAGTTTGTCATGCAGATCCTTTTCGGTTGCGAAACAGTTCTGCCGATGGCCCGCCACAAGACTGAATTTTTATATGAGTGCAGTCGACAGCTCCAATCACATTAAGGAACCCACTAATGGCGAAAAATCCATTCCGGACCCTAGCAAGTTCTGAAATAGTTGTTGGTATTTTAATAAATTGAGGTCTCAGTTTAGCAATTTCGGTTGATACCTTCTTAATTATGCGGCACGCTGTCGACTTATGCACTCTAACGTTATCGGCCACGGATATTTGGAATCCTCCAAAGACATAAAAATTTATGGCCAACAAAACTTGGGTTCCAGGTGTGTCAATTTTCCCATCACTTGATGGAAAACAGATTTTGAAATCCTGTAGCGATCCTTAAATTCTTCATCATTGTAATGAATAACAGGAGTCATTCGTTTCCGGAACTGGCGAGTTGGTGCCAGATCTTCCTCGTCACTAGATAGGGCATCAGCAGATAAATATGACAACATTTTTTACTGCCACTACAACAATCCTCTGACCGAAATATCAGTAAATTATTTTTTGACAATCTGTTAATTGAACAATTTTCACCAATTACTTATTAAAACAACAAAACGTTAACATGCAGTTAACAAAAAAAAAGCTTCCCGGAAACCAAAAACTACCGC